AGCAATATGATCAGCAGTTTCTTCCAGATCATCTAGCTCACAATCATTGATATCAATTTTATCGACCTTTTGGTAAACAACAAAGTTCTTCATAGGAATAGCAACTTTTTTAGGTTCATTATTCCAATGGCATTGCATATTTAGATGGATCCTTGTCTTTTTGATTTCTTCCTTCTAAAGATACATGTATCCAAGGCCCATATTCAACACTGTTTGGATACATCACTTTAGCTGAATCATTGACCTAAACTGGATAACCATTTGAGATAGAAGCCTCATTAGATTTGGATGGTTGATCAGCCTTCGTAATCCTTTTCGAGCAATGGTTCTTCAGACGACCTATTTTTCCGTAACTGAAACTGAAGTTTGGGATCTTCTTATATTCAAATATTTGGAAAATCTTTCCATAGCTTCATTCTACCCATACTCCTAAAGGAAGCTTGTTATCCAAGTTGATACGAATGTAAATTCTAGCAAATTCCCTTCTACTTCATTGGAACATGTTTCCATCGATCATATACGGTTTCCCAACCATGGAAGCAATCCTGTAATTATTAATTTCTTCCCAGCATTGAAGTGGTAAGTTTGGCATTCTAATCCAAACAGGAGCAGAAAGACCCTTCAAGGATAAAGCAGAAAATGATGGAGACCATCTATCCAATCCAATTATATTTTCCTTCACATACCAAGGACCATTGGTGAAGATTTATTCCAATGTTTCTTGTTCATTGAATGCACAAAGAACCCAAACCAAACCAAGCATTGTTAGATGAAATTTGCAAAAATGAGACTATTGTCTTCTTAACTCCATGCAAATCACCTGAAATGAAGTATTTTCCCCAAAGAATTTAATAACCAAAGATTTTTGAAGCTTATTTGAGTTTTCCATTTCATTTCTTAAGTGAAGCTTTACCACTGAATCTTCCCCAGTAATATCCTTTCCAAAATCCATGTTTGTAACATTGATATTAGATTTTTTGACTCAAGCATTTTGTAACACATTGCTAAAAAGCATTTTAGGAATAACAGTCTAGTTATTGTCTGCAATGCCTCTAGCTAGATCTCCTTCCTCACAAAAAAGAACTTATTAAGATTAACAATGTGATCTCCTACTAGAGTAACAATATCCTCAGCATTTCCAACCCCCTTAATAATATTTTTTTATTCAGCATGATCCACTGAAATAGGCATCACAGATACATCAGCTCCTTTTTAAATATCTCCAAGACCATTCAATCCCAAAATATTTTTTTTTTTAAATCAGCATTGAATTAGACGATGAAGCATCAACATTGGTAGATTTAAAAAAACTCTTGGAAGCTGGAGGAGTCCAGAATTGTGTAAAACTATTACTTTCTCAGCAATTACATTCTTTCCTTTACTTATAGTTTCAATAGGTTTTTTCTATTTAAGCATTCCACCTTCATTAATTACCAGAGGCTTACTTGACATGAACCTAACCTTTTTGTCCATTTGGGTTTCCTGCAAAATCAATGCCAAAAGCAAGCGGAGTTGAAGCCAAATTTGAATGCAATGAGAATAGAGGAGTTGGGTTAGCACGCTGACCTTCATAATACCACCAGCCTTCATCAGAGGCCGATGACCCTCCGCTGCCATCAGAAGCACAAATAAGATTAAAAAAAAAATATTTTGCCCACTAAGAAATATTGGACCTTCTCTCACTAGAAAAAACATTTAGCTCACTTATCATGGAAGACCAGTGGCTTGGAGGTATGTCCATTGACTCTATTTTTAATTTTTTTTCCATAGCTGCCACTAAAGTATCATCTTTTATCGCTGATAACACTTGGGATTATGTCAAATTGGCTAAAACTATTTCAGGAAATGCTATTTTCAAAATTTTGAATTTTCCCATTAACACGAATTATGATTATATGCTTTTATGTGATTTACTTCATAATGGGAAATTTAATTTAATGGATGCTTAGCATATCTTTGGGGTGAAAAAAGACGTTAAGATGGTTTTCTCTATGATTTGGCATAAAAGTATCCCTATGACCATCTCTATTTTTATGTGAAAAATTTTTCATAATTATATCCCCACCAATGACATTTAAAAAAAAAAGATTCATTATTACTTATAAATTTCAATGTTGTTTTCTTGTGAAAAACAAGCATCATGTGTTTGTCTTTGGCCCGATTGCTGTCAAAATTTGGTATCACTTTGATGACATTTTCAAGTTCAACATTTTTAATGTGAATATGACCATTAATACTTTACTTGATGCTTAGCTCATCAATTCTAAAGAGAATATCAAAAACATTATCCCTTCTTTGATTCTATGGTACCTGTGGTTTGCTAAAAATAATGCTAGGTTTAATTACGCTCGCATGGATGTCGATCATATTTTTAAGAATATTATGGACAAAGTTTTTAAACTTTTTCATGCTAAGCTTTTTACTTCAAAAAATTTTAAGAATTATTCTTTTATTGCCCATCACTTATGTATCACTCTACAGACGGGTTGCAATTTGGAGGATCCTATTTTGGTGTATTGTAGAAAATAATTTTTCAATACTTTTAAACTTACTGTTAATGATTCAGTTAAATCTAAAGCTTTTGGGTGTGCAAGTATCATTAGGGTTGATAAGGGTAATATGGTTATGGCGTTTGCTGGCCCTTTAGACAAGTGCTTTGTGGTGTATGCTGAGCTTTCAGCAATTCTCAATGGCATTAAATTTTGTTTATCCTTTGGTATTATTAATATTTTGATTGAAGTGGACGCCACATCTACTATTCATTTTCTTATGTTGTAGTCAAATAGTGTTTGTAGTCTGGAAGTTTTCTATCTTATTATAAAAATTAATCAGTTACTGATGTTTGCTAACTTTTCCATTTCTTGTGTGCATAAGAAAGGCAACATGTACGCCAACTAGTTGGCAAAATTTAGTTGCACATTAGAAGTCTCATTTATTTTTCCATTTATAATCTTCCTTCGATTATTAATGCCATTTTTAGGTTGGATGAATAGGTATTTCCTTATATTAGAAATTAGTTCCTTGTTATGGTTTAGCTATGCTAGTTTTGGTTTTCCTGATTTCATGTTGTCTAGTTATGTGGATCTATGGGGACTGGTTCTATTTTTGTTTTCTTATTTGTTTCTTTTCATCATTATGGTGGGTTTTGTTATGATTCACTTGAGATATGATTGAATGTATGCCTATTTGTTGCTCTCCTACCTCCATAAGGTGTTATATGACCTGGTAGTTCACGGGTAACTTTAGGAACAATGTTGTGGATGGGGGCATGTTTCATTATCTCTATGTTGGTGTACTATTGGTTTTTTCCTACAATTGGACTGTTTGGGCTCAAGAAGCTTACATATGCTATTACTGGGAGCTTTTGCGTCATCTTTACATTCTATTTTTAGAGGTGGTTTTAGCCATTTGGCTTTGTTCGGTGATTTTTCGGTTCCCTACTATTGGGTGGATTTCAATCTATGGTTTTTACTGGGTTGGTAATCCTCCTATGTTTCTATCTTTTTTGTGTTTCATATGTTCTTTGGCAATACTTTGATTATCTATGTAATTTTAGGCGTGGCCTATGCTATCTGTCTTGGCTATGTGGTTATTATGGTAGGATCGAGTGACACTTGGGATACTTAAGTGATGGTTGTTTGGTTTGGAACTTCCTAAGCTCTAATTGCCTGTCACTTTGGCTATTTTTATTATGGTGTATCATTTTTTGTAGTCCTTTTATTGTCTGCTTCCTGTGGTACTGGTTACTATGTGATTTGGCTAGTATAACCATGGCTGGGCCTTCCAGCATGTTCCATTATCATGGATGGATCTGAATTTCTTTATTAATTATTTCTTTTTTAATCTTTTATTTAGTATGGACTATACTGTGTGCAATTCGGCCCTGTCTCAATAGTTGCATTTATACTATCAAGTGGCATAATATATTGCTTAACCTTTGACTTATCGACTGTAAGAGCTATTTCTTTAGTAATATTTCCTTTTATGTTAATTCTATTTGGGTTTTGATTATTGCTTTCTTGAGTGTCCCTACAGCCTTTGTTACAGGTTTTTAGAGACTAGTGCTCGTTTTGTGTGGGGTCCTCTTTGGATGGGAAAGGATGTGCTTAATAATGTATCTTCTTCCTATTCCATTCCTTCTCTTATAATGTTATTATGTTGTTTGGTACTCATGCCTAGTGGGGATCGCCGGCTCTTAGGTTTTTCTTCTTTTCCTTTTGTAGCTCTTTCAAGTAGTAGCGAGCTAGCTGTCCCTTTAAGGACTTGTAATCCCCTTTTTTATATTAATGTGTAGGCCCCTTCTGTGGGTTTTTACAAAAAAAAAAGTTTTTTATGCTGTTGCAAAATACGCAATGTATGTATTGCAATTTAAACTATATTATTGAAATAAAAATATATTTAAAACAAGTTGGAATCTATTTTTTCTATTTGATAAAATTTTAAAATAAACTTAAAAAGTATTTTGTTTTACTATTTAATTTAAGATGTTTAAATACTTTAACATAGTGGTATACATGTTAGATCTAGTAAGTAGCTCTTATTATTTGATCTAAAAATAGAAAGGACACCTACATTAAATAAAAATAATAAAAAGATTTTAAATAAGTCCAAACTAGTATAAGAACTTGATGATGTTAGACCACTTATGGAGTATGCTAAACCTTTAATCGGAGGAATTTATCAGAGTATCAATAGACCTACTATCCAGGACAATAATTTTGAACTAAAACTAAAAAATCATTCAAATGATTCAAAATTCTTAGTTTGGGGAAACTCCTATTAAAGTTCCTAATTTATGTCTAACCAATTTTTTTTAAATTAACTGTAATATTAAGTATAATTGTCTCTGTGATGATGTCATTAGACTTAGCAAGTGCCCATATTTTCTGAAAGGCAAGGCTATGTTGTGGTTGAATTCTTTTACCCCATGCTATATAACTACTTGGAATTAGTTGGCACACAAACTCCAATCTAAGTATTTCTCACCTTCAAAAACAATTAAAATTAGAAATGACCTCACTTCTTTTGTTCATTTTGAAGGAGAATCATTTTATGAAAGTTGGGAGAGTTTCACGAAATTGCTTAGGAATTGCCATCACCATTACATACTGATTGATTGGTTATCTAGATCTTTTATAATATATTAGTAGGGTATCTTAGGTTAAAAAAAAAATACTGCAGTACGAGGATATTTAATTTATAAGCCATTTGAGGATACTTATGAATTAATAGAGGAAATACTTATAAATAAGTTATAATGGCATACTAAAAGGCTGAATCCTAAGAGAATAGCTGGAGTTTGTGAGTCTGATGCTTCATCAATTCTTACTTTTTTTTTTTTTTTGAGGAATGCAAAATGCATTAGAGAAAGGAAAGGAGTAAAGCTATTACAAACTAAACAATCAAACAACTATCATATTCCTTCTTCAAAATGCTATACAAAGAAGAAGGAATAAGGGAAAAAGTAGTAAAGTCAAAAAAAAAAAATATTGTTTAAAGAAAGATTAGCACACAATTCAGCATCAATATTACCGTCTCTAGTAATATGATGAAAAATAACCTTGTCAAAGTCATGTAGGAAAGCCAACTTCTCTGAAATCAAATTGTTGGTTAAATTTGTTGAATTCATCATAGAATCTTGACGTAGTTTAATCACATTGTAATTGTCACCTTCAATTATTATGCCTATACAATCAATCATCCAATCCTGAAGGAATTCTTGCAAATAGAGATAGCCTCTAGCTCAAGTTGATTAGTGTCCCAATGCATCTTCTTTTTCCCAAAAGCAAGAAAGAGACGACCTCTAGAATCTCTAGTAATACCACTGATACTTGCCAGGTTAGAGTCTAGGAAAGTAGCATTCACATTGATTTTTAGCCAATCTAGAGGTGGGGGGTGCCATGAAGAGCTAGACTCCAAGCGGAGAGAAGCACTCCGGTCAACTAGCATTGGATAATTGTTCATAGCAGATGAGCGAATGGTAGAAGAAATGACGAAAAAAGGCAAGACAGATTTATCATGAATGCTGTCATTCCAACACTTCTAGGAGTAGAAAACAGCTGTGCAATAAATTTGGACAGTATTCAATCTATTTTTAGATAGAATTCTCAATTGGGAAATACAACTATCAAAAGATTCAAAAATAGGAATATTGAATCCCCAATATCTGAGCTTATATATGATATCTGAAAGGTAGCAGTAGTGAACAACAATATGTGAACAAGTTCCTATGTCATGGCACCCAGTAGTACAACGATCAAAATTGGTTAGTCTTGTATATTTAAGGAATTCATTGGTAGGTAATGCAAACTTGCTCATCCTCTACCAAAAAAACTCAACCTTGGGTTTGAGTTTTAATTTCCTTAAACAAATAGAGAAACCAAAATCATCATTATAACTTATTCCTTTATTTTTAACTGAATTTTTATAAGCCAAAGTAGAAATATATCTTCCCGAGAACTGAAATAGAGGTTCCATGATATCAGAGATACCATTTTGGATCTTACAGTGATTCAAAATTAGTAAAATATGTTCCTGGTGAAAGAACTTGTTCAATTCCGTCAAGTTCCAAATACCATTAGGTAGGATGAAGTGTTGTAACGTCAATCCGTCGAGTCCATTACAATCAACTAATAATGGGCATTTGTTAATGAACCGATTAAGGATCCAAATATCATTTAAAACAGTAATACCTTGGCCATTACCAATCTTCCATTTAGTAATTGGTTTGAGAAAGGAAGCTCTGTCCAGCAAAATAGACCATGCTGTAAAATATCTGCTTTTATGAGTACCATTCCAGATGTTCATACCATATCTAGCAAAACGATATTTATGTAACAAAGAAGAAGGATTCTGTAAGAATCGCAAAAATAGTCTAGCTCTCAAAGGACATGTGTTATGAACAGACGAATAAAGACCCATACCGCCTAAGTTTTTTGGTTTACATAATTCTTCCCAAGCAACATAATGGAGACCATGAACAAAATTCCCCTTGTGCCAAATAAAGTCACAGCAAAGTCTATCCAGTTCATGAAGAATTCTCTTTAGAACCAACGAATGAGTTGAAGCAAAGATAGGTAAAGACAAGAAAGGGGACTTGACTAAAACCATCATTTAGGCCAAAGATAAGAATATGGCACCCCAAGCATTAAGCCTATCTAAAGCATGATCAATGATCTATTGAAAATCATTCTTCACCATCCACCTAAGAGAAATTTTAATGCCCAAATAGTGTAGTTCATTAACAACCTTAAACCCATATTTCTTCCCAAGCTTCCTTCTCAAGCACTATCTAACAGATTTTCTAAAAAAAAATATGAGATTTTCATTGTTTATACTTTGTCCAGTCCAGCCACAATAGTCCATAACTATCTTCATAATGTTTCCAATCATTTGGGAAGATGCAGCTCCAAATAAGAGCGCATCATCGACGTAAAGAAGATGAGTAATGTTTGGAGCACTAGGAGAGATCTTGAGGCCTAACTGGTGACCTCTTTGATTAATAGCATTTGATAGGAGTAGAGAGCACATAATGAAGAGGTAAGAAGACAAAGGACATCCTTGCCGAAAACCACTTTTAGCTTCAATCCATCTTGGATTTTGCCATTTAAAAGAATTGAAAATCGAACATTGACTACACAATTCAGAATTAGATTGGAAATTTTCTTTTTGAGTCCAAACCAACTTAAAACAAGGTCCAAGGTATCCCAACTCATGCTATCAAAAGCTTGTTCCATATCAAGATTAATAGTTGTTAAGAGAGTTGCTATTTGCATGTTTTATATTCTTGCAACTAGTATAGTTTTGATTATTCAAAATATTATTATTTTAATTTTTGTTTTCTCCTAACATAGTTTGGAAGATTTGTTTTTTTCTCTTGTGAGAACTAACATTTCAGGAAAATTGAACTCCAGATTAATGAAGACTTCAATTTATATTCAACATGAAATAGTTTGTAAATTGAAGTTTGTACTTATCTTTATATTGAGTTTGAGAGGGAGTTATTGTAATTGTGTAGATAATCACACACACACTTGGGGAACAAGAAATCTATATTGATCGTACGGGATGAACATAGTTCGTACGGGATGATCAAGTCAGTTATCCCCTCGGTGGAGCAATGGATCGAACAAGAAGTGAGAAAATTTTTTTTCTAAGTCTTGATTGTCCGGACGAAATTCCATATTCATCCCGAGACGAATTCCTCTGGATTCTCACTTTACACTGTTCGTCCAGACGAAATGCATGATTCATCTCTGGACGAAATCCCCTGGATTTCCAATTTGGTCTGTTCGTCAAGACGAAGTCCAAGTTCATCCCTGGACGAATTCCTTTGTCCAAACGTCCCAGGATGAAGTGAATCAACACTTCAAATTTACACTAATTATCAAGACAAAATTCACTTATTCATCTCTGGATGAAAACCTCTATCCAAAAATTGTCCAGGATGAATATACATCGTCCCAGGACGAAGTGAATCAACACTTCAAATTTTGACGTCGTCCTGCACTTTCTGCGAACCGACCTATGGAATAACCGTTCATATCGGATGAACCTAGTTCATACGGGATGATGATCAGGTATGAAGTTAATTCGTATCAATATACATTGGGTTCATTCATAAGCTTTTAAGTAAATTCGTCAAGGACGATCCACGATCGTACGGGACGATCCACTACGTGTTGACTTGTATATTTGCAATTTTTGGATGGTTTTTCTTATCTCTTCTATATATTGTCCAATTTAAACTACCACAAAATCTTTTTGCCCATTGATCTTCATGACTATTGAAAGAAGAGTCAAGGAGAGAGTGTGAGAGAGCATTCAAAAGAAGATTCTTACTACTGGAGCGATAAGGCTTCACTTGGTGATTAAAGGCAAGAGTATATAATTTTGATTTGGAATTACTTCACTCTTTTCTTTCTTCCTTCTAGATTTTTTGTGAGAAGATCTATCAAGGAGATCCGGTTCTCTGCCAACACTTGGAGAGTGTGAACAGCCGAAGGGTTCAGTGTGAACAGCAGAAGGGTTCTCTGCCCACACTATGAGATTGTGAACAGCCGAAGGGTTCTCTGCCCATACTAGGAGAGTGTGAAAGGAAGGACGATTCTCTTCCAAGACTGGGAATAGTGTAAAAGGATGACGGTTCTATGCCGCAACGAGTAGTGGTGGAAAGAGTTTTTGTAAAGGCTTCTCCGCCTTGTTGTGGGTACTAAAGGAGAGTCACTAGTGGTATTAGTGTAATACTCGGAGTGTTCCTCCGGGGAGTGGATGTAGGTCTGATTTTGAATGTACCACTATAAATTTGGTGTTCTTTATTTTTCTGTTATTTTTATTTTAACATTTACAACTTGCGGTTGAAAAATTTATTTCTATAAAACTTACTAAAGTTAGTTTTCATTTCCAAATTTTAAGAGGGTAAATTTTTTTTTAATTACCCATTCACCCCCCATCTTGGTTAGCCGTGGGACATAAGCTTAGGTTTAACAACCTAATTCTTAGTGAACGAGTTTCAACAAGTGGTACCAGAGCTTTGTTTTAAAATCATAAGTTTAGACTACATTTTGATTAACGTAGATGGCTACATTTGGAAACCAAAACACACTTGAGGGTTACTCTATAACTAGACCTCCACTGCTTGATAATATACCTTTTGATTTTTGGAAAACACGCATGTCTACATTTTTACAGTCACATGATTATCGTTTGTGGTACTTAGTTCAGGAAGGGTATGCAAAACCAACTAGACTAGTTGATGGAGTTAGAGTTGAAACACCTTTTACAGACAGGACAGTTGAAGAACATGACTTAGCACAACTAAACTCCAAATGTTTGAATAGTTTCTTTTGTGCTTTAAAATCGGAAGACTTCATGCGGGTTTCCACTTGCAAAAGTGGAAAGGACATATGGGATAGACTTTGTATAACATATGAGGGGACTAACGAGGTTAAGAAATCTAGACTTAATATTTTGTTGCATGATTATGAATTATTTTGCATGAAACCTAATGAATCGATTTCTGATATGTACCCAAGATTCACACAAATAGTCACCTCTTTACATGCACTACGTAGGGAACTAACGAATGCTAAAATGGTTAATAAGATT